AACCAGAACGGACGGTCTAGGGTTTGGTCACGTGATCATATCACGTTTTTCGCTTTCTCGGCCCCGATCAGATCCGAAACTGATATGAATTCTCCTGTGAATCCAAAATTCGAACCTGCACTCTATGCAACATGAAACATGCAATCTACACTAGATACAATCATCAAACATGCATAGAAATCAAAGCAAACATGGATTCAAACAATTCAAATCCTAAAACTGCGTGATCGGGTTCTACGAAATCAAAACAGAGCAACCATGCTCTGATACCACTGATGGGTTTCCTGGGATCTCTAGAGCGAATCATATTCCTAAGAGATCGATTCTAGGGTTTGCGCAGCGCATATAAAACAAAATTTTAATAAACCCTAGAACCATGCTTCTATGAATCGTAGAAACGTTAGAACGCTTACCTCAATCGATCTGGGGCCTGTATCAATTGAAGAATTCATCTGATCACGAAAGGGAGGAAGAATACCCCGCCCTCTACACGTATCCACACCTCGAGATGGATTCCAACGGTTGGAACTTGTCTGCTAGGACACGAATCTGCTATTCGATTTTGTGCTTCGAGAAAACGAGACTCTTCGGTTTTCGAACTCTTTGGATCTCACCCAAAAGCTCTCCCAAACCTCTGAAAGTCGGCACCAAAAAGTCTCTAACGAATTAGGGTTTTAATCTCCTTCTTATAAGGTGATTTAACCCTAATTTCGGTTTAATTTTCGAAAAACTGGAACCTGGAACGGACGGTCCGGAATTGCACGTGGACCGTCCATTCCAGTAAGGCAGAACAGACGGTCTACGTTTAGTGCGGACCGTCCGTTCTATCACATAGAACGGACGGTCTGCGTGTTTTCGTGGACGAATAGAATTTATTCGTGATCTTTACGAACGCCAGAGATGATTCTGGTTGATGATCCTTTTGTATCGCGATATCATATGTCGAACATAAGGCATGGACAAGCCACCTTATCTGATTCGACTACTTTCTCGTTCACTGAGTTCGACTGTCTGAAATAGACGACGTTCGTCTATAGTGCGGCCACACATTTCTACAGTCTCGCTCACACGAGGGGCCCAGCGATATCTCTCTCTTTTACGAGAGGTACAAATCACATCTTGACTATCTACAATCCAGTACATGATTCGTTTCGTACCTGATACATGCCTTTATAGTTCTCCTATTACGCAGAACGTTTGACGTATTCAAAGCACGCAACTCCTCATGTTGGATTCCGTAGATATCTCAGGTCTCAGGATCCAATCATGGAACCGCCATATGAGATTCAAGTCATGACGCTAGTCCATGTGACAATCTCATGCGGGTCAATCCAGTATTCCGTTCTCCAACGAATACCTATGATTGTGATCGTATCCAATACCTATGATCATCAATCACACATCATACTAGTCTTATTATGTCATCATTCCCATAATGACACAAGACTAGGGATTTAGTATCATTCATAATGATACATAGATTTCATAACAGATCTAGTATGCAAGAACATGTAATGAATCAAATACTCTCATAAAAACCATAGAAAGTATCAATACATCAAATGTATCTGAACAAAGCTCATAAACAGTACATCATAGAGCACTAAACCAACAGTTGAATGTCCTGAAAATCATACACGAAAGGAATCTGCAACGATAAAATTAACTCTCATGATCATTTTTTAGGGAAAAAACCCTAAAAATTCCCGAACTTGTATTTTAGTGTAATATTAATTCCTGAACTTGCGGAGGTGCCTATTAATTCTCGAACTTGCAAAATTGAACACACTAATTACTGAAGTTGTTAAATGGTTCCATAATCGTCCTTGATATTAATTGTTAAAAAATCGCGCTGACCGATCCGACGTGGCCATTTACGTGTCCAGCCAACTCATCGAATTTGTGCCACATATACAATTTTTGGTTTTTCATTAAACCGAATTCACAGAGTACCCGGTTCAAGATACAAACCGGTCTACAGTAACATTTCGGGGTAATTAAAATCTGGTACCGATCGAAACCCACATTTACCACCCATAGAATCGAAGAAACCCTAAACTTGATTTCTCCCCCAAATTGACAGCTAATCGGAACCCTGATTCCAGTGACACCCGTCATCGGCGATTTCGTCGGAAATCTCTTCGGCGATGGATGTTTCTTCAAAGCGCAGGTTTCGTATTCATCAGAACTCTGTTTTTTGGCTTTCTCCTCGGTCGAAATTGTGCGTCGTGTTGTTTTTGTTATTTTTGGGGGATTTGGGGGATTTTCTGATGTTCATAATTCATCAGAACTCTCTTTTTTTGGCTTTCTCCTCGGTCGAAATTGTGCGTTGTGATGTTTTTGTTCTTCTTGGGGGATTTTCTGGTGTTTATGATTCGCAGACAAAGGAGGCCTTCGATTCCCAGATTTTGTATATGGTGTTGAGGTTGAGGTGTATGATTGTTTTGTACTCTTGTGAAATGTTATGGTTTTACACAGGATGAAAGGCACTTGTTCAGCTGAGGGCGGAAAGAGTTCTACAACATCGAGTGCACGATCAAGTTGGAGAAAAGGGCAATCAATTGAACGCAAGGTTTATCCATGGAAATGCGAATGTGGATGTGATGTTGTGAGATTGACTTCGAAAACAGAGAATAATCCTGGAAGAGTGTTCTTCTGTTGTGAGAAACAAGATGTAAAGGTAAAAAATTGAATGTATATTTCATTTGGTTTATGGTTTATATGATCTTGTTGGTATAATGTTTCAGGGAAATTTTAATCACTTCTTCAAATGGTTTGATGAGGTGATGGAAGAAAAAACGGACAATCTTCATGAAGGTTTAGAAAGAGTAGTGATGGATATGGAAGCATTCAAAGAGAATAGTAGAAAGACGGAGGATGTGATGGAAGTATACAAATTGATCATCGGAAAGATGGAAGTTGAGTTGGAAGAGTACAAAGAGAAGACAAAAAAGTTGGAGGATGCGTTGGAAGACTACAAAGGTGTGAGTCGCAAATGTGTTTTAGTTTTCTTAGTTGTAGTTATATTAGTTGTGTTTGTTGTAGTGTTTTGGAGTAATTGGGATTTGATGATGTTGGTTTGAAATCCTCGTCGAGATTGTGTTTTTGTAGTGTTTTGGGGATGATGTTGGTTTAAGGGATGTGTTCGACCTAATGTGGATCTTGTAATATTTATTCATGTATGAAGTATTGGTGGATGATAAATCTGAAGAAATTTAGAATTGATACAATGGACAATGATTCAAATATGCAGAGAAGAAATAGAGATTGCATTCACAGTGGTTATACATATGTTTTTTACAACAAAAAAACCTTAAGTAGGTTGAACCTTATATCCAACGGCTTTTTAAACTATACCCCAAAAACAATCTCAGATGTAACATCCCAAAACATATTCAGTTTCAACCACTAAACACCACTAACGGTCCAACCATACCAAAAAACACCTTATCTTCAACCACTAACAACAAAAAAACAAAGGTTTAACCTAACAAGATCCTCATGATGTGTTGTTGAGATGAGGATCTTGGTTGTCTGTCTAAAGTTGTCTTGGAACTTGAAATTGTCTAACTGAAGTAACAACCCGGCGAATTCTACGAGGAAGAGGGATTGTTGATTGCACTGTCTGGTTTGATTGGCTCGACTGAGAAGGATGAGAGGAACCTTCACCAGACGGTTGTGGTTGAGGAGGATTGGGTTGCCTGCTTGATTCTCCTTGCACCTACACTGACAGATAAGTTAAACAACAGATATATTGTAAAGTACACATTTATCAGATGGGTTGACAAACCTTTCTCGGTCGACCTCGTCCTCTTTTACAACCGAAGAAAGTAATTGGTTCATTCTTGCACCCCCTTGCATTATGTCCCTGTTGTTTACATAAACTGCAAGTCATTTGTCTTCCATGTTTAGTCATGTGCCCAGATCTTGTCATCGACTCACACGGTTCCTTCCTGCGACTAAATTTTTTTGGTCGACCTGGCATAGTCCTCTTAAGTGGTACACCAATCGGAGGCTTATTTGTTTTCTCCCAAAGTGTTTGTCCATTCACAGGGTTGATGTTATGTTCATATGTTTGAACCCATTTCGACGTCATATAGTACTCGGATATGTACCTGTCCATAAAACACAAAATATATTAATTCTGAAATCTTAATAGAAACCGAAAATTTGTGTTTTTGCACTTACTTTGAAACATCTTCTTGCTTCTCGTTTATGATGCACAACGCATGTTGACAAGGAATCCCCCTCAGATCCCATTCCCGACAAGCACAACGCTTTCCAGAAAGATCAACCGAAAAACTCATGCCGAACTCTTCCACTTCATATTGTCGACGTGCACTTGGTATACTAGTACAAAACCTTGTTTTCTGACGGGATTGTTCTAATTTCTTCATACAATGACGAGTGAACTCAGTTATGCATCTAGTTGCATATCTTGACCGTTTCGCATTGCGATGCATTATTTGTTTGCGAATCATCTCCAGCATATCTATCATCGGCCTCAAACGTGCATCCTTGATAGTCATGTTGAAACTCTCAGATAGATTGTTGACTACGTCTTCACAGTGCGAGTCAGACTTGAAGAAGGGTCGAGCCCATTGGTGCGGTTCTGCATGTAAAACAGCTTCATATGCTTGTTCATTGATCTGTTTCATTTCTTCAAGATATGCGTCATAATGAGCTTGGTGGTAACTTGCAGCAATGTTCCAAAAGATACGTTTATACGCAGAATCCTTAAAGTTTTTTCTCCAGTTCGCATAAACGTGACGAGTACACATTCGATGTTCGGCAAATGGCAACTCACGTTCCACAGCATTCAACAAGCCCTATTAAACAAAAAGTAATTTAGTAATTGAAATTTGACCAACAAACAAATCAGTAAATGACAATACCTTCTGCTTATCTGAAGTTATTGTTAATTTCTCTCCTTCACCGAGTGCTAAATCAGATTTCAGTTTCTGAATAAACCACAACCAAGTCTCAATGCTCTCTATACGCACAACTGCCCAAGCAATGGGATAGATACCGTTATTAGCATCCCTTCCAACGGCTGCTAGAAGTTCTCCTTTCAACTCCCATTTCAGAAAGCAGCCATCCAATCCAATGATAGGTCGACAACATTTTTTCCACGAATCACGTAATACATGGAAACATGTATAAAACCGATCAAAGACTTCTTCACCTTCTTCTGTCTTTAACCCGATTTCAGTGGTTATGTTTGGGTTTGACCTCCGAAGCTCAGCTTCGTAATCCCATAACTTCGCAAATTGTACCTTTTGTTCTTCCGTAACCATTTTTGACGCAACACGCCGAGCTTTAGAGCATTTGCTCTTCGACATTATCAATCCATATCTATCTAACAACCCCACTCTTATATCAACAGCTCTTAGTCGTGGGTTTCTCCTCATGTCCTCTTTGAAACGTTCAGCAATGTGATACATATTCACCATCGGTGCATGTCCATTTGGATGGTGGTTGTGTGTTGGATGATAAGTCTTGATCATCCACTTGTTGAACGACGTATCAAGCGTACAATACACCCTCCACAAACACTTTTTATGCCTACAATTAGCTGAGAATCTCGTTGTGGATGATTTCGTCATCTTAATGTTGAACTGTGAGTCAAACACATAGTCAATTAACGCCTTTTTGAACTCTTTCCAGCCTACCATCAAAGGGAAAGTAGAACTTGTCTATCCCCTTTTATCCTACCACTCTTCACGGGTTTCTCGAAAGACCGCCATTCTTCGTCCGTGTTTAGAGGTGATTCGGGAATCGCATCGGACTTGTCTTCATCACTTTCACTAGACTCAATGTTCTGCTCTACTTCATTCTCCACAGATTCTATACACTGAAATTGTTCCTCATCTCTATCTTCATCATTAACATTACTAGGATCATCATCACCATTACTTCCATCCGTAGAATCGATCGGATCCTCACGACCTTCTTCTACACTTTCCTCATCATGAACTTCCTCATGTTCGATAAACACATCGATCTCAGTCGCTTTTGCCGCAATCTTATTCAATTCCCGAAATTCATACCGACTTTCCCTATGAGTGATCACCCTCCTATCCTTATATGTTTCCTCTGCTAACTTGTACGACAGTTGATACATTGGTGGATACACATTCCGAAGCTTTATGATTTCCTCAAACTGGTCCCATGAGAGATTAGGGGGGTTATCACAAAACACTTGCGCTTTCACTCCACCAATATATCCCACATTTCCATCTTCGCCATAATCTGTGCATCCGCCGAAAAACACATTCACTACCAACCTACCAAATCCACAAATATTCAGTGTAGAATCAGAACACAAATCGAAGAAGAAGAGTAAAAGAACACAAATCGAAGAAGAAGAGTAAAAGAACAGAACCGAAATACCTCATGTCTTCAAACTCGGAGTCGAATCAGAAGCGGCACCAAACAACGATGATTTGATGGAGGAGTGAACAGACCGAATACACCTTTTCGGCAGTGAACAGACCGCCGACTGCGACCAAATACACCTTTCCGGCAGTGAACAGACCGCCGATGATGGGTGTCACTGGAATCAGGGTTCCGATTTGCTGTCAATTTGGGGGAGAAATCAAGTTTAGGGTTTCTTCGATTCTATGGGTGGTAAATGTGGGTTTCGATCGGTACCAGATTTTAATTACCCCAAAATGTTACTGTAGACCGGTTTGTATCTTGAACCGGGTACTATGTGAATTCGGTTTAATGAAAAACCAAAAATTGTATACGTGGCACAAATTCGATGAGTTGGCTGGACACGTAAATGGCCACGTCGGATCGGTCAGCGCGATTTTTTAACGATTAACATTAAGGACGATTATGGAACCATTTAACAACTTCAGTAATTATTGTGTTCAATTTTGCAAGTTCGAGAATTAATAGGCACCTCCGCAAGTTCAGGAATTAATATTACACCAAAATACAAGTTCGGGAATTTTTAGGGTTTTTTCCCCATTTTTTATTATATTACTATGACAAGGCAAATTATTATGACTGTGAAACTAACTGGTCATACCAGTGAAGTACGACCACTTCACGGATTTGACCATTTAACTGGTCTGGCCACTTCATGGATCTGACCATTTAACTGGTCTGGCCACTTCACTCGTCTGATCACTTCACGGGTCTGACCACTTCACGAGTCTAACCATTTCACTGGTCTGACCATTTCATGGGTCTGACTAATTCGACAAATATAACCATCTGACTAAAAAATCGACTCCCATTGACTCGTCTTTCTGAAAATCATCATCTTTCACCTAAAATCCTAATTATTCTAACCTAAACAACTCGAACATTACTCCATTGGAGTTTAAACCCGACACAAACACATAAACACGGAGACACTGCAGATCTTCTGAAGAAGAAATCGAATACGAAACATTTATGCCGACAAAAGTTGATTTTGTAAGAAGAAACTGAGAGATTTTCTCGAGATTGAAGAACAGAGAAACTGGAGAAGGAGAGGAGAAGACGTTCGTTTGTTTGAAATTTTGGAAAAACTGAGATGTCGTTTCGCATTTTTTCTCCTGTTAAACACTTAGTGTTTTTCAGGGAGTTGTCATGTATTCAATTTTTTAAGGGTAAACTTGTAACGACGCAAGGCCATTACGGAATGATAGAATTGTTCCCACACACCAATACGGGAACTTTTAGCGTGTTTTGTCCTCACTCGCACACATCCCGGAAAATACATTTCAGGAGGTCACACATCCTAAGACTACTCCAAAGTGAGCACGCTTAACTTTGGAGTTCTCTTGAGATGGTTAACCGAAAAGGTAGATTCATCTTGTTGCTATGAGTAGCTCAATTAATTCCATTAAGTTATATTTGACTGCATAGTCCCTTACCTACACAACCCTCGGAGCCCTCTCATTCTGGTGTGTTCGATTCATCCCTGTACCCCCTACCCAGAAGCTCGTCAGGAGCCGTCCATTGTCCATGCCTTTCGCATCAGCGATCACTCCCCGTCCTCTTACAGTATCCAGGCTGTCACAAAACTGGTCTTTTTATTGTTTTAGTATTTTTTTTTAACTCTAACCTTAGGAGGCCATCCCTTGAAGTATAGAATGAAATTTAAGGTTATTTCTGCAATATTGCATTTTCAACGATAACTTTATGAAGATAACTTTGCACAAACAAATAAATGATCAGTTTTTGAATAATTGTCTAGTTTATTTCATTGGAAAAAATATATTTTAGACAGTTACAAAAAAAATTGTTATAGATAAATTTTAAAAAATAAAGAATCGTAAAATTGAGTTGTAAAACATAAACAATTTTGTTATGATATACTTTTACTAGTATTTTTATATTCTATATATAATTAATGTCTATTATTTTTGGTGAAAAACTTTTTTGGTTCAGTATTCTTGTAAGAATATGTGTATTTGAGAATTTTAACGTGTTTTAGATGACATTTTTCCTATACGAATTTAGCAAAATATGATATTTTCATACACATATTTTTAATTTAACAAAAAACACACTTGAATTCAAAACTTTCTAAATGTATACACGAATGGTTAAAATTAATAGTAATTACATATATAATCATCATTTTCATTCAAATTCTGTTAATTATGTATTAGTTAGGTAATTACTATAACTATCATACATGTCAGCGCATTAGTTAATAGAAATCGAAAATTTTTAAGGAAAATGATGATTATGTATATAATTACTATTAATTTTAATAATTAATATAGATATTTGAGAAATTTTGAATTCAAATATAATTTTTTATCAAAAAAAAATTATATTTTATCGCGTAGAAAAATGTAATTTTTCTTAAATTATATGATATTGGATCAAATGTTTGTATTATTTGATTGTACGGGATTTTTTTTTCTTGCTGCGTTATTTCGTTCTGGCCTTTCATTCTCACACGCTTCATCATGCCACGTGTCGACCATCTGTGAGTCGTGACACACCCTCCTCCAAATCCGTAATTAACCCTAAGCCTAAAGGGTATTATTGTAAAACTAACAAAAATTTCGACCGCCACTCCTCAAAATCCCCCCCAAGGAGTTTAAAACTTTTAAAAAACTTCTACATAATTCCCGTTCAAAACGCTTCTTCACGGTCTTCGACACCAGATTCCTGATTTCGTCTCTTTCCTCTTCTTCGCTGCTCTTCTCGAACTAGTGACACACTGACAGGTACCTTTTTTTTCTCTCTTCTAGGTCTTGTAAGTTTGCTTCAATTTGTTCGATTCGCTTATTGTTTCTGGGATTTGGACTTGATTTTGATATTTCCCACCGCTTTCCTACACCCAGCTTCGAACACTGTGATTTTCGCTGAAGTTCTGATGTTTCCGTTATAGGTTTCTCTTCGATTAGTCTGTTATTGAAGCTTTTTCCGACAGATCTGGTGTGGTTTTGCTTTTTTAGTTCTGTTGTCTCTAAGGGCTCTTTTTGTTTCGAAAGAAATCAGAGTTTGGGAGATATGGCGGGGAAAGGAGGGAAAGGGCTTGTAGCTGCGAAGACGACAGCGACTAATAAGGACAAAGACAAGGACAAGAAGAAACCCATCTCTCGGTCTGCTCGTGCCGGTATTCAGGTAAATCTTAGAAATCTCATAAACGCAGGGGGTGTTGCGTTGCAAATGCTTTGTGTTTTGATGTGGTGGGACATGTCCAGATGAGACGGATAACGTAATAAGACTCAGGAACAGTTCATGATCATGACCAGGTTGCAGGAGTTTGGGATTCATTGTTGTGATTACTCTGTCCGAAAATGGGAATGGACTCCATAGTTTCCCCTATTTTCCTGCTTCATATTCTGTGAGTATACATGATTCGTGGGTTATATACGTCCTATGGGTGTTCGTAAGTTGCATCTATGCCACGATTTCTTTTGCGGACGGAAAGTGGTTAACCAATTTGTTTTCTTTAACTAGTGTTCTATACCTCGGTTTCTTGTAACAAGATGTTACTCTGTATTGTCTTTGTTTCTATCTATTGCATTGCTGCAAGTTCAGTGTTAGGGAGTTGAGGTTTGTTGTCTATTGCAAAAGATTTCTGAGTTCCAAATGATGGAGATCTACCTTGTTTAGATTTTCACTTTTTTTTTTTTTTTGTGGGAGTATCAGAAAGGTTCTTCGTGAATTAAATTACTGAGATTGATCTAAGCAGTATTATCTGTTCTCTTTTCCCCTCATTTCTTACCACCTGCAGAGAAAATGGTTAAACATTTGGAAAGAAATTGAAGAACTTTGAGTTTCCATTACGTGTTATGTTTGGTTGTGTTTCCCCTTTATGATTCTTTGTTTTGTTTACTGGGAACTAAACCAATCATTATTCTTTTATCTCATCTAGTTTCTCAATTGGAAACATATTTTTGCTTCTGTATTTATCATTTAACATTACTTTGATAATGCTCTGAAGTCCACCTTTCTAATTAAGCTATCTAATTACCATTATCACATTATAAATCACCAAATGTTATGAGATGTAACTAAACTTTAAATGGTGACATGTTTATTGAAATTCTTTAAATATTTCTAATTTTCTAACTTAATTAACCAGGTGGAATAGGTTAAGTATCTACTCTTGAGTAATTGCCAAATGGATTTTATGAAGATTTGTTTGGTTTTGATTTGGCCAGTGGAAGATTCCCATCATTGTTTCTTTGCACATAATGTAATTCCTTGTTTGTTACTATTGTTTCTACTCTCTAAGAAGCACTTTGTTTGTTTCTGATAAGTGATAAACCAATAGATATAACTGTTGTATTGCTTAGAAATGATTCCTCCCGACATTTGACAATCTCCAACGGCATATGTTCTCTGCAATATTTGGGATTTCTCATGAATTTAAAACTGTCCTGAACTTTCTCTGCCTCTCCATTATTATATGATTAAACCAGTTTCCAGTGGGTCGTATCCACCGGCAGCTGAAGACGAGAGTCTCTGCTCATGGAAGAGTGGGTGCCACTGCTGCAGTCTACACGGCCTCAATTCTCGAGTATCTAACAGCAGAGGTTCTGGAGTTGGCCGGGAATGCGAGCAAGGATCTGAAAGTGAAGAGAATAACACCGAGGCATTTGCAGCTTGCCATCAGAGGGGACGAGGAGCTCGACACTCTCATCAAGGGTACCATTGCTGGAGGAGGTGTCATCCCTCACATCCACAAATCACTCATCAACAAAACCACCAAGGACTGATTAGGTTGTGTGTCTTTTGGTTAACTAGTAGCTAATCTGGGATTGGTTTCTTCATTGATGTGTTTCTCTTTCAGACCCTCATCCTCTCATTAGGTGTACATTGCTTAATGTTTTAACTCATATGCCTCTGGTTTTCACTTATGCTGTCTTTTCTTGAAACAGAGTATGGTAATTGGGTAATTGGTGTTGAAGAGAATGTCAATTCTTCTTCAAATGCTTTCTTTTGTATTGAAAAAGTTTAGTGATGAGAGAGAGAGAGAGATAGAGAGAGTTCAGTGCTACCAAATAGACACAGGAAACTGAGAAAGAAATGATGTGGTCACAAACAAACAACAATATTTGATAAGGAACAATATCAAACAGTTGTCTTGAAGGTCACAATGCCTCGTTGTCACATAAGTTAACCTCACACACCATAATAACAATTACATAAAGAGCTTAAACCATATTGTATACATATATATATATATATATATATATCACCCATTCTTTTCCCTTGTGTTGCCTTGTGTTGATGATCCATGACCTGCATTACTGAAATCAAAAATTTAATGGATTTGTAGATTTCTTACAAGATGCCGTACATATAGCTCTCGATTTGCTGTGCTGTTTGTTACCTGTGTTAATTGCAAGCCTGAAGTGACCGTCCACAAGCGAAAGCCTTTGAGGGTTCCTTCACATTGGTCTGACATTTCGGAACAGGAATGACCGTTTCAAATGCTTGGACGAGTAATGCCACTCTCTTCTTCCTTGCCGGGCCAAGTTTACTCACAGCGCGCTGCAGAGCGTAATCTATCATCCATTCCTCGGTGTTCTTCCTCTCGTCTACGTCCTGATGCTTCAAGTAGACTTTTTCGTCGTCCGGGTCCAGCGCGATCGGAAGGTAATTCGGTTCTCTTGGGTTGAATGCCCTCAAAGACTCGATGTCTTTGACAGTTTTCTTGCACTTGATGATCCATTTTCTGAAATCAACTGTCTGGTCTTGGTCAGAGGATTTGCTTCCACAGGCGAACGACATCTTTTCTGGTCCCTCTCCTTGAACGTTCTTGCTGTCATACGGCGGAAAAGATTCCTCTGCAGCTCTCTCTTCCCCTTCGCTGATCTCTTCTGTTGTTCCAAATCCGCACATGTTCTGTTCATCACCAAGATCATTAGCTTTTTCTTTCTCTTCGGTAACTTTTTTTCCATACTCTGCGTGACCTTTAGTCTCCGAGCTCAGGCTGTCATCCGGAGTATTTGGCATATCATCATTCGATTCTAGGTCATCGTCTTCCATTTCCAAGCCCATTTCCATCTGAATAATGATCTCGCCAGCCATTTTCGATTCTACAGTTGGATCTTTCGGGGAAATAACGTCGCCCGAGATGCTACGGGAAATATCCTCAGTGTCTTGATGTTCATCTACTTCAGCTGTCTTCTCGGTTGCGTCATTTGCATTCTCTGATTGCTCGATAGCTACCTTTTCCTCGAACATATTCTCAGTGCCATCCCCATCTGCACCATCGTCGGCTAGAGCCACTAGACCGTCGCTTTTATCAGATTCATTTGATTTAATATCATCTTCTAATACATTCACCATCTCTGCACTGTCAGAAACTACACCAGGCTTCTTGAAATAAACACCCTCCCAGACCATGTTGGTGATTTCTGAAATGCTCTCAGACTCCATCTCCTTTGAAGGATACTCCTTTTCACCTTCCCCAGCCTCAGAGCTGTCATTTGGATCCTTCCTTGTTGCGAAAACTTCGTGATAGAATCCAAAACTCTCCTCAGAATCGATCTCAGAACGTGGAGCTCCATCGGATAAGCTCTCGGAAACTTGGCCCTCACCCTCACTGCAAAACCCGTTTTCTTGCTCAGACTCGTTCTTCTTCGAAACATAGATTTCCACAAAACCATCACTACCCTTTTCTTGAATCTCCACAGAAACGATATCTTCACCCGCAGGACTCGGCAGATTCTCCTCGCCTGGACTAGAAACTTCCATTTTCGTACCCTTTTGTGACTTCAAGGCTCGTCTTCTCGAAGAAATGAAGCTTTTCAATGGAGGATACTGCACGTGAAGGTGACCGTTAAGCGAACAATACGTGTAAGGACAGACCTTGAAAGCAGAGGTCCCTTCAGACTCGGTGGCGCCGGGACTAAGCATCAGATACTCTGGAAACTTCGAGTCCTTCAAAGTCGAAGAACAAGTTGCTCTCTGCATATTCACATCAGAACAACGACCGATCCTCGAACATCTCTTGAAACTCGGCGTCTTTGTCATCTTCAAACTCGATTCCCTACGCAAACCCTTGCTCTGTTTCTCAGTTCCTGAACCAGAGAGTTTCTTCTTCCCGAGAACGTTTCTTGGAACACTCTCTCTCCTTGCCTCTGAACTCGACGTGCCCTTCATGTAATTCGGTGACCCATCTGTCACTTTAGCATCACTCTGCTTCTGCGGCGGAGTCGTCGTCGTCGTTGTCCGGTGATCAAGAGCTGTCGGCGGTTTACCAGGTTGAGAGACAGTGTCTTTGAGCCTCGTGGGTCTTGTTCTCTTCATCTTCTTCTTCTTCTTCTTCAGTTCTTGAGATGTTGCGAGGTTGGAAAACCGGTTTTCGGGCTTTAAACCATTAGATTTGACATCAAGAAACAGCTTTCTCTGAACCATCTTCGATCAAAAGTCTCCTTTGCCTGAAGATGAAGCTATGTTTTTTTTTTCTTTTTCCTCCTCCTCAGGTCAGAGGAAGAGAAAACTTTGAAGATTCTCTTCTCTGCTCTGTTCTTCTTTGGTGGGTTGTTTGAGTGCCTTTGTAACTTTTTGGTGGATTGGTTTGAGAATTCAGATTTGATTTATGGAATTTGAAAATGCTTTGATTTTGACATGCACTGAGAGATAGGTGGGTTTTTTTTTTTGGTCTTGTGGGTCCAAATTCTATTCATTTATTTGTAATTATGATGATTTTTTGGGGTTTAATAGATTTATTTTGTTTCCTTACGTGATACACGAGAAAATGCGCATTGTACACTTCTTGTCTTTTTTCTTGAAGTGATGCACATTCCCTAATCATTCTCATAGCCTAACGAATTAAATAAAATAGCCTCAACATTATTGTATTTTCAAATACATGGTTTTTCACATAAAAGTAAATTAATTTACTATAAACAACTATTTCTTTATCTATGTGTGTATAACCTTTCTATTTTGTAGTGTCGGTTCGGTTTAGTCCATTAAGGTGTACCACAAGAATAATATATTAAGAATTTTTATTAATTTAGAGAGCTTCTAAGTCACGCAAATACTATTTCTACTAGGAAGATGATTGGTCAAAACCTCTAAACGAATCAAATCCAATTTAATTGAAGTACAGAAAATTAAATTTTATTGGCTTTTTATTTTTTTATCTTAACTAAATATATAATAAAATTTAACGAAATGAAAAATAACATTTTTTTATTAATAAAAACTAAATTCGAAAAGAAAATTGAATCGAAATGGACGTAATATAAATATTTTTATTAAAAAATAATCGAATCGAATCCCATCAGAAAACCAATATAACTAAACTCTCTGTGATAAAGCACTAACCACTAGTAATATGAAAAGTTAGCTTATATCAATTTATTTTATTTCCGGATGTTGTTTAAAGTCATGGTGATTAGAACAGAAAAAAAAAAGTCGGTCGAATATATATGAGAACTATTTTATGCAAAAACTATGGAAAATTTTCAAATTTCTGCTTTGTGTAATGGAAAAAAATGCCAACTTGGATGAGGGAAAGAATGACCTCTAGCGAAGGAAAGATGAGATTTTGTCGAATACAAAGGTGGATATACTTTATAAAGTTAAAAAAAAAAAAGATGGTCTTTTGGGGTTTAAATAAGTTTTGAAATCAATTTCAAAACCGTCATATAATAAAAAATAAACGAATTTAAGTTTGTGATTAGTTGAGAATTTAGATTTTCATTTTGTATTAAAATCTGATTGACAAAAACTTGGTTTATTAAAACTATTAGTTTTAGAAATTGTAAAATTGTGGTTTTTATAAAAAATCACAATATGAAGAAAATGCAGCATAATTTTTTTTATAATCTCGAAATTCACCGAATTTTCGATCCAACTATATATCAAAAGATCGGAAAAATCTATGGAAATTCTCTTCTCCAAAATGTAGAATAATTTTTTAAACTGTAATGTAAAAATAAGATTTCCAAAAAATTCCAATCCTATTTCATGGTCAGTCCATACTTTAAGTTTTATTAGTAATTGGATAATTTTTAAGAATAATTATTCCGTACACTTTAAGTTTTATTAGTAATTGGATAATTTTTAAGAATAATTATTCCGTACAATATCAATTATGTTTATTCAAAACTCAACAGTTAAAACATGTCGAGAATTCAAGATTTTTTTTTTTTTTTTTTTTTGGTAACGGGGGGGGGCCAACCACAGCCCTTCGGGCGGGAACCCAACCACGTAATAGCCTGTAAACCACGTGGAACAGATAAACCACCCAAAGAGTGACAGGCTCACTGGAGAGTGGAATCGAACCCATGACCTCTTGGAGAAGCCCTTTAACCACTACACCAGGCCCCGAAGAGCAATCCAAGATATATTTTCCTGCATTCAAATGATCGAATAGCCAATCGGACCAGAACCCAACCACAGCCCTTCGGGCGGGAACCCAACCACGTAATAGCCTGTAAACCACGTGGAACAGATAAACCACCCAAAGAGTGACAGGCTCACTGGAGAGTGGAATCGAACCCATGACCTCTTGGAGAAGCCCTTTAACCACTACACCAGGCCCCGAAGAGCAATCCAAGATATATTTTCCTGCATTCAAATGATCGAATAGCCAATCGGACCAACAAGATATCACATCCTCATGTCGAATTTCATTTCGATATATCCAAAAATTGTTAATAAAATTATATACTGAATTCCAAAATTGAATAAATAAATAAATAAATATTAGAATTGTCGGATATGAATTCCGTGTGCGTGTGTAGGTGACGGAGACACAAAACGAACGAACAAGGTTATGTGTCGGTGCGAAAGTGCAAAATGGTTGGCAAAGCCAAAACGTGACATATTTTTGGTGGGTCCCTCATCTTATCATACGCTCCTCTTCCCTGCTTTTTTGGCAGATCGGATTCTCTAACGCTCCACAACCCTTTTTTCTTTTTCAAAATTTGAACCACAGCGGTTTCCTTGACAAATTTCCCTTCGGATTATTCTATAACTTCAATTGAATCGGATTTGATTATTCGGTATTGTGGTCCGGTTTGGTTTGGTTTCGATCAATTTTTTTTTCCATCATCGAGAAAGATTTGACTTCTGTTCGAATTTGGATTTAAAAAATTAAGGAAACAAATTTTGATTTAATTTGATTCGGGTTTTAATTATTTAGGTTGATTAGAGATTGATTTGGCTGGATTCCATTTATCCAACTATGGATTACGATCGAATTGGTTGGGTTTAATCGGAGGATCTATATATTAGAAAATCAATTCGTATGAGGTCATGTTATTATATAAGTTCTAGTAGCCGAGGGACTCCAGCAGGCCCAGCCAGTAAAATTAATGGGCCTGATAAGAGAGCTTCACCAACTTTTTTTTTTTTACAAAAAATCTCCTATTTCAATTTTTTAAAATATACGAAATAAATATTTTTAATTTTAATTTAACAATATAATACCCAAATGTTAATATGTATCGAATTAATCTAATTAAATTTCTTTTTTCAAATTAAAAGTTAATAAATTTATTTTTTTTATGAGATTAATAAATTTATTTAAAATAGTTGAAATATTTATATGAGATTTTTCTGTTTATGACCAAACTGTTGGATTAGAAAAAAATTATATCTGAATCTCTATATTTTTTTTACAAATTTCAGCACATCTTACGGTTCATATCTTTTTTTTTTAATTTATTTTTTTGTAACCATAGAAACTCCCTATATCTCTCATTTCATTCGCTTATATAAATCCTAGATGTACTTCGTGTCCGTCTGAATTATATTTGAAATCTTAGACTCCCAAACCCTTGAAAATAACAAAAAATTATAAGATAATTAAGTACTCAAAAATCGATTGATCATCTCTAGGTGAGAAATTAACTGAACGTCCTTTATAAAGAAAATTTAGTTCGAAAAAGTTACATCTAGGATTTATATAACATAGCTCACTCGAATGCAAATATATACAGTGAAGATTTTATAACTTTGAATAGAGATTAATGAAGAAGAGATTTAAGCACAAGTGGAAGAAGAAGAACGATGATAACAAGTCGAGGTCCGGGAAAAACGTGCGTGTTCCATTATGCGCAAAACCTAGCTAAATACAAACAACGAAGCCAACTAAACCTAGGAAAATCTGGAGAGTATCTAAGATGTATATGGTAAACAATATATACAAGATATGATCGTAATCTCCGCTAATACCCCCCTCAAGTTGGTGAGTGCACATGATGCATGCCCAACTTGTCGAGAAACCAAGCGAATTCCTTCTTGCCCAAAGCCTTCATAAAAATATCTGCCAACTGTTAGAAATCTGGATAAAAAACAACGGAAAAACGAGAATGAAATCGAACCGAGGGACCGGATATCTCTTCAAGGCGTATAGACACTTTCCTAAAACCGTTATTCCGTCCGTTACGAGCAAGGACTACCGGAATACGATTCTGAGATACAATGAAGAGAAATACGTTCTAGAATTGCTCGTTCAAGAACGCACAGATAAGGAAACGTGAAGAAGAAGATGAACGAAAGCTCTCGGGATAGTTTTTGCAAGAAACTTCCGAAAGTGCTCTCAAAATCTCTCAAAATTGGAATTAATCTCGTACCCAACTTATTCTGACGTCTTTAGTATATAAACACCAAAGAACATCACCAAAAGTTGCAAAATCTGCAGTTATTACGCGAAGAATCGCATCAGTTCGTATATAACTGTCATGTTCCGAGTTACACTTGACACAACATGAAGTACTTCTCACAGACTTTTGACTCAGATCGAGTTCCACCTGACACGGGCCGTGTCAAATTTCTGTGCAACACGAATTTTTTCTCAGACAATCAACACGGTTCGAGTTAAATCTAACACGGACCGAGTTACATTTCTGTAAAGAAAATTTCGTTTTCGTCATGAAGACTGAGTTCTACTTCACCCGAGTTGAGGTATACCTCACTCACAAACCGAACAACTTTACTGCCAAACACATATGTGTTTCACCGATCCATATTATATCATTTACGAATATTTAACTCCTCCACCATATCCGTAATACATATAACTATGAATCTCTTGAGAAATTAATATTAAACCCCATTCATTTACTCTAAAAATACCAACAATCCTCCACCATTTTTAGAGTAAAATAAACAATGGACAATCAAGCAATTAATCATTCATCTTCACAATTCTGCGGATAAATGAAAGTGTCTTTACGATTGAACTTCCACTTAGTGTAATATACAATAATAGACTCGAATTCCGTAGGTGTCGCTAACGATTGAACCTACGTAATCCTAGTTGAGCTACCATGTATATACACACACAGAATCAATACATTTCCCTGTATATCTTGACACTATATCGGCCATGTGTCCATATCCCCTTCACAAGCACATAGATGTCGAGCCACCAACATCTTGAAGCGGCCACACTTCATGCTCGCATAGGTGAATTCTTTCAAATCGTGCTCTGCAACAAAGCACTTTGTCAAAGAATTCATTAAATATAAAACAACCTCTTTACATTGCAAACCAAGATGCTTACCTCGGGATGATTTACTTCTAAGCATCTACAACCACAAATTAGAGGATTTAACTCATTGAACTCAAGATCTAACGTTGTATTAGACGTTGAGTTGAGATTCCTCTAATTGTGATTTAATCAATAGGCCCAAGACCCATCCCTATAGTCATTTTGTGCAACATGTCCCTCGACAAACTCTTGGTAAGAGCATCAGCCAAGTTTTGTTTTGTACGCACAAAATCCACCACTATGGCCCCGTCTTTTATAAGACCATTCACATAGCTATGTCGTAAACCAATATGTCTAGACTTTCCGTTATATACATGGCTATATGCTTTAGCCAACGTTGCTGCACTATCGCAATGTATTGTGATAGGCGATACTGGTTTAGGCCATAACGGTATCTCGAATACCAGATTCCTTAGCCATTCTGCTTCTTTTCCCGCAGAAGCTAAGGCAATGAATTCCGACGCCATCATGTGAATCAGAAATGCAAGTTTGTTTCTTGGAAGCCCAAGAAATCGCA